TATGACTAAGATCCCCTGACTGAAACAAGACTAAAAGGAAAAAAAAAAAACACTTATTGAAAATGTTGTCAAAATCCACAGTGGTTCAGTATTACATAGGTCTAAAAAACTTTCAGTTTTGGTCTATTTTGGCTCCTGAGGGAAGACAGCATTTCCCATGAGGACCAACACTTTGTCTGGTAAAATCCAGGACCTCCAGGCTGCCTGCAGTTGGTCTGAACTACTTTTCTCTTTCCAGTGTCTGTGTGAAAGATTAATAGTGATGAAGTAATGAATCTAATTGTGGGGAAACAATGTCATATGATGGTGAAAATAAGAAATGTTTGGCTCTGGTTTTGTAAGTGTTCCTACACTGTACCCCCACCTCACCTGACTTGTCAGGACTGATTTGCTGTTATTCCTATATCCAGATTATGATCTGGACCATCAACAACATTTAATGGATTGTTCATCGGCATGAAGGGCACCTCTGATAAAATGTCATTAAAATCCATCCATAGCTTTCCAACTTATCCTTTAGTTTAGACAGACAGACAAACACACAAACTCTCCTAAAAATGTAACCTTCTTGGTGGAGGTAAAACAAAATTAATAGTTGTAATCAGCAATAAAATAATCATTACGTTTTTGTTCATGATTACGATCCTAGTTCCTTCTTTATGTGTAGTTAATGAAAATAAATGAGAATATTCATGGAACGCTTTCTTTTTATTAAATTGGACAGATTCTCACTTTGGTACTTAAAAGTAGATATATATATTGTTTTGGTTAATTGGATTGATCTCTTTCGAGTAATCTGCAACAAAAGAATTTATTGTAAAAGTCTCTTTAAATAGTTGAATTTAAGCACAGCTCATAATAACAATTTGCTTATGGGGCTCAAATAAATCAGAATCAGCAGGTAAAGATTTGCGAGTAAAATCCAAATGGGTGCAGCCTTATTCAAAATAAATGCAAAAATCATTTCTTCTTTTATCTATAACGAATTCTGTGAACCACATAATTATTTATTTTGAAGTCTTATTCATGATGCCAATAAGCTAATTTTATGCAGATATTTTAGTATTTGAAAATACACTAAGGTTAATGGACATACATGCAGACAGGAAAAACCTGAATAGTAATTTTCTTTGTTAAAGTTATGTTTAATACAGCAGATAAATTCAGCAAATGGGAACTTTGCAAAAAATAAAAACCATATATGTAGTTTTTAGTTGATCTGGATTAGAAATGTGACTGAAGACAGTGGTTTGCTCTAATAAGACATATAATCTGTTACTCATGATTGAGTAACAGTTAGGCGTTGTACTGGTGTTTTAACCTGCACCAAAGGATCAGCTCATCACTGTGATGCTAGAGAACAGGACACAAGTCCAAGCTTGCGAGTTTAGTCATCCTTATCACCTCACCTATCTGTAATTGTCATAATTGATTTAAGAAGGAACAGTTTTCCTGAGTAAAACAGAAGAAGGAAAAGGTTTAAAGAGAAGTCCCATATTTAATGTGGGGGAACTGTTATCTGTGTAAATACAGAAACATCCCAGTGTTTGGTGTACTTCTTCTGCACGAACTTCTTAATGTATCCCTATGCAACGCTGCAACCAAGCTGAGAGTGTTTTTACTGCAGGCATGCACAAAGATTACATGCAACCCAGCTTAAGACTCAACCCATTGCAAGTCTGTTTTTGCAAAACATACATAAGAGTGATTTTGAAGTCATGCACAACATCCAGTATCCTAAGCTGTTGAATATTTACATTTCGAGAAGTATTTGGTGCTAAACCAGTGTGGAGCCCCGGACTTCTTACACTGCTTCAAACGGGCATAAACTTGCAAGAGGTCCTCAGAAGATGCTGTTTTGTGTTTTGGACATAGAAGATTTTATCAAATGTATAACTTGTTTGCAATTCTCCTCATGAGGTCATAAGGTTTTCAAGCTGATGCTAGCTGGTTGTTTAGTCCTGTTGTCTGTTTTGGGTACCAGCCTACAGCGTGCTGTTTATTTTACCAACAGACATGCTCGTTCAAGCCTTTTTCCCTCCATTGATTGTAGCCTGGTGATCTGTGGGTTTCTAACCTGCTGCCTTTGTTTCTGCTTTAGTGAAAAACTCAGTAAAGAAGCAGCTGACACAGTCAAATGGAGGGAGAGGTAGTTCATTGTGCTTCCACAGGACTATTATGAGTATAAAAAAAACCCCACGCTGTCACTGAAAGGAGCTTAGTTGCACCGGTCTGGGGTTATGTGACCAATTTCTAATGTTTAGTTTAGTAAAGCTCACTTTTTTAAAACCATATATATATGTTAGGGTGTGCAAAATAATCGTCATGACGATGCATCGCGATTCTAATTTTTGTGATCTTATGCATCGATTCTTGAAGGCAAGAATCGAATATAAAAAAAAAAAAAATGAACAAATAAAATACATTAATGGTTGACACACATGAGCCAAATCAAGTGGAATACAACTTCCAGTCCAGCAGATGTCGCTGCGGATGTGTTGACGCTCGCTGCTTTGTGTCACAAGCATGTCCGGCAGCGGGATACTGGGACGAGTCATTCGTAAACAAAATATGGAGGAAACTGAGAAAATTCGCCCCCCCGGTTCCATCACATGTCAGGTAAGATGCTTGGATGCATTCTGGCTTTAAAAACAAAGAAGGTAAAAATGAAATTCATATTATGCACGTAATTTGCAAAAGGACCACTGAGGCCATGTAAACGGCACTGATTATCCTTATTTTGTTATTTTAAGTTTTATGAATCCTAAGATCTCTTTGTCAGTGTGTCCACGCCAGTAATAGTAATATTTCTGTCCAGTATTTGTTTTCATGGCAACGCCTCCAAAAGTCGTTTCAATAAATACAGCTATGTATGAATTCAGTTGCTTTCAGTTATGTATCAATTGAAGACACGATCCAGATCATAGCCAGCCAGTCAGCCACTGGTAAGGGCTGTATCTTTTTCTTACAGTGTTCAAGGAAAATATCGCAATGCATTGCAATGCATCGCAATATTTCAAGTATCGTGATGCATCGTGATAGAATCGCATTGTGGCATGTGAATCGTGATTCGAATCGAATCATAACTTCTTTGCTAATACCCACCCCTACATATATGTATGCACCAACTCAGTATGGCAAATGGTTCCTTAAAGATTTTACACAGAATTTAAACCAAGTGAACTGTACCTTTTCAAGACCCCTCGACAGATCATAATAATTTGGAATTCAAAATGTTAATATTTATATATATATTTTTTAATTTTTTTTTTATTTTTTTTTACAAATTTGGTATTACTTCTTTGTGTAGGTTGTTCTTTCAGCTAAAAGCATGATTTAAAGTCTCTATACTGAAGTTAACAATGGATTACCAAATTATTTGACGAGTGCTTTAAAAAAATGGAAAAATCGTGATTAATCCGATTAATTGTCAGCCATAGTTTAAATCTTTTCAAACAAAAATATAATGAGCTCAACAAGTTAATTTTAAATTATTATTTATCCTCCTTTTTTCTCATGTCTTTAGACGCCATCAGATCTGCTGACTTCTATTTAAACCATGCTACCTTCATATATATTACTTTACTGACCATCTTTTATAGCTAATAATATAAATTTACTATTGCTAGTCAAAACTGTTTGATGTGTGCCTGAAACTCTGCCATTAAAACTCAGCCGCTGATCCATTCATCCCCGAGGATATCTGTAAGATGAATGAGACTCATAACTGCCTGTCGCACTGTGAACTCCGAGCGACTCATCACATGACGTCTTTAGGGAGGAAGAGAAAGCAGAGTTATCCTCAACAACAGACACAATCACTTCCATTCATCCTTGAAAAAAATCAGATACTGGTTAAATGTTTTCATCTCTGTCATTCTACTCTCATTTTCAAACTCCAGGGTTTTCATGTTTTGTTCTTGATCGTCTACTTCAGCTTAAGATTAAGTGACGTCCAGGGTTTTGGGGAAATGTGTGTCAATATATTTCTCTTTTTGTCATCAATGTTGCTAATAAAAAGATGCTTTGAGGGGAAGAGCTGCTTGCTTAATTAAGTGATGAGAGAGAGTAGTGCAAGTTATACTAAAGATGGATCCATTGTGGTGGAGTATTTTTCTCCTCTCGACATCCCAGTCTGAGACGGGCTTTCTGGATCCCAGTGGGCTCATCAGTATGGGCCGCCAGCTCAAGGTGCTAAATCAGCTACGCTTGAAGGCCTTCCTGCCAAGGCAGCGGCGGAGGACAGTGGAGTTATTACATGTTATTTACCCCACCCCCCGTTTTCTTAGTAGCTGACCGGTCCTTTTACTAATGAGAGCAGACCACTTGGTTCATCTTGTTACATCAGGCAGATGCTATTTAAGGACATTTGTATTTGTGGGCTGTTGGTAAATGTTTCTGCAACATTGTTCCAATTTTGCTTTTCTTCCAAAACAAACCTGCTGATCTGCTGTTGCTTCTTTCTCTTATCAAATATTCAAACTAGGGCTGAAATAATTAAGCAGATTAACTTAGACTTAGACTAAATTTGTCATTCTGTGTATACAGAGTGTATACAATATGAAACTTCAATGCATACAGCTTTTAGGCAGTGAATGAGCAGCTTAGTATTCAAAATAACATTTCCGTTTATAAAGTGCAACAGTGATCAAAATGTAAACGGTGTAGAAGAAAAGGAAAACCAGTTTAAAAGTGCAAAAGGCATTGATATGGAAGGTTCAGAGCAGTACAAAATAAAAAAATTAATAAATGTGGTGAAAAAAGCAGTAGAACATTGAGTTGAGTTCTATTTAAAGGGTTTTGATAAATCGCCATGTAGTGCAAATATGTTTCCAAGTGTGATGCAGAGTCTTTGTAGATGCTTTAAATCTAGCGGTCTGTTGAGTTTATAAGTATCGATCTCTGCTTCTGTGAAAGTTATCGATCGGCACTGAACAAACTGATGGCTGCTGCATAAAGAGAAATAAATTTGCTCATGTTTTTCTCTTTGTCATCCACAGCCGTTCGAGGCCAGTGACCTTCTGCTCGGCCTGAATTTCTCCAAGGTGCTGAGCAGCCTGGTGGCCCTGAATAAAGTCACTGCAGGTTGGTTAAAATACACACACTCACTGTGAGTCAAATGAGGAGTCGCCTTGTTTTTATGAAAGAACGACAAGCGGTTTGTCTGGGCTGCAGATACCTGCTCTGTTTTATTTATACTCTGTCGTATTTGTCTAGATATCGGTGTGGGCAGTGATTCGGTGTGCGCCCGACACTCTTCCGCCCTACGCATCAAGTCCTTTGAGTCGTTGTCCTCTCAGGCTTCACTGGGCCGATCCTCCAAGCTGCTGCAGAACCAGTTTCGAAGCCTGGTAAGGTTTTTATAGATGACAGCAAGTGCTTTTCGTCAAATGCGCAGCTCTGGATAAAAGTAATAAAAGTAAAGTCAAATAGTTGTCAGATATTTTTTATTATACAATATAAAGTTGTCTCTGTTGTGCCTCAACAGGACATGTCAGAGAACAGTGGACAGCAGCTGCTGGTGAAGGCTCGTTTCAACTTCCAGCAGACCAACGAGGATGAGCTCACCTTTAACAAGGGTGACATCATCAACGTGACCCGGCAGGAGGAGGGCGGCTGGTGGGAGGGAATGCTCAACGGCAAAACCGGCTGGTTTCCTAGCAACTATGTGCGCGAGGTCAAAGGCTCTGGTAGGTGCCATGAGATGGGACACAAAGATGTGAGTAATAATTATAACCTGATTGGAAATGAGTTGCAGATCAGCAGCCTAATAGAATGAGGAAGTCCTGTTATGATGTTAATCGAATTATATTCTGACAGGAAGCTAATTTTTTTTGCCCTGCTGTGTTCAAACATGAATGAGGTCCAGCAGTTAGGGATCTATAATTGAGGATTTCTTCGGCTGTGGCGTGCAGCACCATACACATTGCAACAGGAGCAGAGTTAAATATAATGCTGACATTCTACTAGTTTATATTTCATAAGAAGTGGTTCAAAATTAAGATAACGCAGGTTAGAAGTAAAAGCATCCGTGCTCCTACTTCACGTAAAGAGTCTTGAAATTTTTTTATTCTCAATGTTGCCAGTCCTTCCTTATCTTCTTTCCTGAATTTTTGAGATATATATATATATAAAGTTGAACTTCACCAGTTGATATGCTGATTGCAATTTTCCAGCTTTTTTGCATCCATTTATTTTTTTCATTTTCTCTTTGTTTAAACTAACTGTGTTTTAATACAGCTGAATCCTAAATAAGTCCTAATATAAACGTTCCATATTTTGATTTTCATCTTTAATCAATTAAAGTCATAATCTGTGCTGCTATTTCTGCTATAAGGTCGGCTACAGTCTGACTGAGGGAAGAAGCTTGTGTTTTAGCGATATCTGACACCCACAATGCAATATTTGTGTGCAAATCTGTCTTAGCTGCACCTGTTCTCTGATGCACAACAGTCACCAAGTGCTCATCTTTAAGGGAAAATGGGAAAGCTTTGCTGAACTCAAATCTCCAAATAAAAAAAAATAAAAAAACATGATCATTCAATTTCTTTACCAAGTCTTTGGAAAACATGAAAGTGGTTTTTAGAGGGTTTCATTGGATTTCATTCAAGCCTCCTTCAGAGGTTGTTTTGGAAGTTCTTATCAGTTTTTTCTTCTTATTCTGAACACGATGCCCTAGGGCTGAAACAATCAGATTAATCGTGATTAATAATTTTCAACTAATTCAGTAATCGATTGATTGTAACAGGAGTATAGAGACTGTAAAACAGCCTATTGCTAACAGAGTGAGCCACTTAGAGCAGTAACTATTCCAAAATTGTAAAAGAAATACATAAACATTTTGAATTTAAGATAAAAAATTTTTTTTTCATCTTTCAATATTCTCTATCCAGAACTCCTCAAGTGGAAAAGTTTTAGTTTCACCTGCTTTAATTTTGTAAAGTCTTCTGTCTTCTAAAAATATTTAGCTATCCAATTATTAATCAATTAATTTGCAAAATAATCGCTAGTTGCAGCCCTTTAATGCACATGGAGTGGATTAGATTTTATTCTATTGGGTGACCTCCCTAATGCTGCAGAAGAATGGGAGCTGACTGTTGTAGCTACATGTTTGCTTGCATGTTAGATGATAGGTAGAGATCATTTATGATGTTTTGATTGTGTTTTTTTTTCTGGCATAAAACACTCATGGTTAAAGCCAACATGCATGCATCTGCCTGTCTGAAAAGGACCAAATGTTATCCTCTCGATTGGCCAACCAAATCCCAGATAATGAGTCGAAGAATGATGTAGGGCTGCAGCCCTACATCATTCTTCGATTAATCAATTAATAATCGAATGACAAGAAAACCACCTTAACAAAGGTTTTACACAAACTCTGAACCAGTTGAAGCTAAAACTGTTCTTGAGCAGTTCTCGAAAGAACATATTGACAATAGAGGTTTTTCATCTTAATAATCTTTATATATTTTTTGATTTTGGTATATTTACTGCTCTGAATGTGCTGGTCTTTCATCCAAAGGCATGTTTTAGAGTCTATACTCCTGTTAACAATTAACCAATTAATAAACAATTAATAAAATACTTAATGATAATCTATTAATCTGGTTAATTGTTCCAGTCCTAGATTGATGGATGAACAGATTAACTTCAATTTTATTATATATATATAGATCTCCTGGGTGTCCATGCATTAGTAAATGATGTTTTTTCTGAATAAAGCGCGTTACACCCCTTTCAGAATCGCCAACATCAAGACACCGTTTGTCGTTTTTATTCAGGTTGCTTGTAATTTAGCAGCACAGCTGTTGCGCATACGCCTCTGTGCTGTGAAGCTGTCTCTGTCAACAGATGCAGAGTAACATAAGATGAAAACAAAAAGGTTTTCATCTTGTTATTTATTGTTGATATTAAAGTCAAAGACAAGTTTTTTTTTTTTTCTCTGAACTCCCTCAAGAGATCTTTTAATGATTATCTCTTTTGGTATTGAGAACATCATCTTTACCTTGCATTCTTTGATTGGTTTATGAAGATTATGTTTCTTGTAACTTAAAGCCCATAGACTGTAAGAGTTAAATAGCTCATTAATTTGGGACTTTGGAGCTTAACTGCGCAAAGCCTGGGAGCTGGTATTTTGGCACCTCTTTAACAGCTGCTTTACTTGACAGCTGGAGGGGAGGCAGATGGTATCGCCGTGGGCCTTTATGTGAGGTGCGATGGAGCGAAGGTTGTGTTTTGATCTAAAACTGAAACAGAAAGTTAGGCGTCTCAAAGGTGTGAGAGGGAAACTATCTACGGTGCAGGAGGCTGTTTATACTTGGGGTGGGGCTGTTTAAATAGTTTCATGAACTCCATAGAGTTGGATAAGGACTGATTAAACCCGTAACCATTAAAAGGAATATGCATTTTAACAGTTCAGCGATGCATAAACCACCTACACTGTTACCATGGTTCCAGATATTAATGCAATGTGCAGCTAAGTCTTCCTTCTTTACAGGCAAAAAAATGTCTCTTTTGTTATTTTTCAAGAAAACTAATTTTTTTTTTCTGCTTAGCTGAATCCTTTAAACCAATAGTGTCCAAACTTTTTGTAATATGCAAAAACTGGCAAGTTTAAAATACCCTTGATATATTAAAAATAAATCTGTGGGCTTTTTGATATTTATCTGAACAATGATAAACTATACAAGCCATTTTTTTCTTGCAATAAATGTGATTGTTGGTCAAAAGTTGAGGGTGTCTCACATTTACTTTATTAAAAAGACTTATTTCTTTTATTTTTCTTATAGAAAACAAAAATCTACGCAACAAGTACACAAAATTGGAGGCTTTATTTTGAAAATCTTTGCTGTATTAAGCATAGTCTGATAAATACAAGCCTGCTTGTTTGGCTGAATAAGCCCTGCTGGATATTGTGGTGCTTTTTTATTGGAAGTTAAAGTTACAGCAATAATTATTTGTGATTAAGAAAGACAAACATAGTCTGTAGTACCCATCACAGAGAGCCTAGGTCATGCGCTGACAGACCACCTCTCAAACGGGTTGGCCATTTAGCATCAGAGTCATATGTTATACACACAAACTAATGTCTGGTCATATAAATGTTGATATTGTTGTGATGAATTCTAACTGAATGTGTTCAGATTATTCCATACATGTCTGCCCACTTGAGACAGAATCAGAAAAAAACTGTTTTGTTAAAAGCTTATAATGATGCACTAAAACCTCTGCTTAAAAACAGCCCAGTTGGAC